GGTGTTCTTTTTGTATTTTGCTGATAGTTCCGTTTTTGCTTACCTAAGGAATGTTAGATTGCGTTGAAAGAAATTATATTTTCTAGCATTATTTGATACTGTGCTTCCAGACAAATAATGTATTTGTATGAAAAGTTAGATTATATTCTGTTTTAACAGCTCAATTTGTTGTTAATCTTCTGTGATTAGAGCTGCTTCTTAGTTCACACTGCCCATATGCTTCAAAACAGTAGTTTGTGTGTGAGTGTTTGCTTCAATCTGGCGTTCGTCTGGTGTGAAACATATGCAAGACACTTTACAAAAATAAAATTAGAGTCTCTAAGTTTACAGTGTAAGTAGGCAGCAACAATATCAAAGGCTAAGGCTGCAGTACTGTACATTGAATTCAGTATGGCTCACGTCTGAGTAAGCATGGGTTGCACTGTAAAAGTGGAAAAAGCTATTAATTAATTAAGTATTTATAAACAGGTTTTCATGCTTACAACCCTTGAAATACTTTTTTCTGCATCTCTGCAGTCTTTATTCTAGGGAAATGGGGCCAAAACAAAATCTTAATGTCTCACAAAGAGGGCACAGGGATCCACAGTGGAACATAAGTCTCTCCAAATTGGAAATGCACTTAGACGCTTGTCTCTTACTGTTTGTTTTACTAAAGAAGTCACTATAAAAGGGACTTTCCCCCTTTGGGAGCTGTATTCCTAAGCTGAGAAAACGTATTCCATTACTGTGAAGGTTGATAGTGTAAAGCAGGATTTTCTGGTACCAAATTAAGAAATGGGACAGTCGTATGTATGGGAGCCAAGTTTTAGTTACATTTTTCAAGGCTTTGATTTTGTTTTCTGTAAACAGATATGCAATAAAATGTGGGCAGATTTTCATAGATGTTCTATTTAAGGTTTTGATTGACATCCTTAATAGCTTTGCTGTCTGAAATGCATGAGCAACAAATGTAGTCAGTTCCTTGGAGCATAATTTTCTGTTAAGCAAAGTTGACAGAAGCCATCAAGAGCATCCTTATAACTGTACAGGCAATGCTCAGCTTATGCTGGGCTCATGTTCCGGGATAGTGCCTAAAGCCAAAGTAATGTATAGTCAAAACACATTGGGTTCAATGGAAGGTGGAATTGCCAAGGCTTCTTTTCCTGGACACCCACTCCCTTTCCGGCTCCTTTTTATTTGTTTTTTGCCAAGTGTGTATAGCTTAATGTACACAAGTTAAATACACACGTTACGAGTTACCTGTAGTTGCTTCAGTGGCATTCCAACAAAAGACAAAATAATTGAGTATTATGATGTAATCTTAGATTTGGAAAAGTAGAAGTATTTTTCACTACCACCACCTAGGACTAGTCTACACCAGTCAGTTAAAATGTTAAAAATGTGTTATAAAAATGTGACACCATCCATCGTCAATGGAAAATTGCATTGAGAGCTATATTACCTTTTTAAAGCATTTTTATAGATCGGTGTAGATTTTTAGTGCAACTTTGCAATATAAATAGGTAATGTTAACTCACATAAATTCTCCAAATGCTATGAATTATGGCATTTTTAAAAATTTAATAGAAAAATAAATAATATGCAAGTTAAATTGTATCATTACACTATTATAGTGGCTGTGCAAATGCATGGCTGAAACCCCTTCACCTCTTTTGCAAAATTGTTGATATTTTGAGGAAGAGACATCAATAATCGTTAAGGGAGGGTATTGGTAAGGTTGCCATATTTCAAAAAGTGAAAATCCAGACACAAAAGGGTTTTTTGGCAAAATCTTTAAAAAGACAGTTTTTGAGCTAAAATTTGGCAAAAGGTGAGGAACCACCATAAAGAATGAGACCCAAGGGTATGGAAAAATAAATGAAACTAAATGTTAAGCTGAAAGTGGTGAGTATATATGTTGGAAGGGAGGATAATAAGTTAAAACATTCCTTTTTTTAAAAAAGGTAAAGTTAAAGAAAGGATCAGAAATATTGAAATATTGAAATATTCTGTGGGTTTCACATGCTTATGTAGCAGAGACTGGAAACAGTCCTACCTCTCCACACCCTTTCAATGGTCAGGTGTTAAAATGGCAAGTAAATTTCCCTCCAGTGGTGGAGAGCTGCTACTACCAGTTCTCCTACTGGCAGTAGACCATCAAAGAGAGAGTTGTGGGGAGCCAGTGGCTCAGTCCTTGAGCCTTGAAGCTGGCATAGCAACCCTCCCTGCTTTTCTAGGCTTTTCCTCCTTGGGGGGCTGGCGCAAGCTGGCATGGCTTTAGATGCAACAGTGGATCCATTGCTCCACTCCTTGCAGGACACATGTTGGGAATGTCCTGCTGGACTTCCCTTGAGTCTGAAATCATTCTTGCCAGGATCTCTCTTTTTAAAATATTGCATTCCTGAAGAAAACAAAAACAGGCCATTTCTCAGTTTAGACGTTTGAGTCAGATGTGCAGTAAAATACGTAGCCTTGTATTATTGACTTGTGCATCCCTCCATTTTACACTTAACCACATTTGAATGCAGAGGGTTTGTACTAATGGAACTTCTGGAACACCTCCAGACATTTGGCATAAAGCTAAGAAGAAAGCTTAAAATGCCTGGAGATGAGATGCTTTACCATTGTGCCACTGGAAAATATCCAATATGAAATGGTTCTTCTGTCAGCAATTAATCTACTTTATAGATATATACCGTATTGGCCTGAATATAAGCCTCACTTTTTCCCCAAATTCCCACTGTGAAAAGTTAAAGTGAGGCTTTAACTGTCCTCTCCCCCAAGGCCGGGAAGGGAGAGAGCGATGAAGGGGAAAGGCCGCCAGCAACACAGTGCGGCTCCCCTACCCGCCTGCCCAGTATGCAGCCAGGAGCAGTGAGGAATGGAGCAACTTGTATTTGGGTATTTTTTTTCTTTTTTTCTTTCCCCCCTTCCAATTTTAAAGGTGTGGCTTATATTCGGGTGCAGCTTATATTCAGGCCAATACGGTACTCTGTTTCTTATAAAGATATTTTTTTAAACCCCTGCACTTCTTTATTAGTTGCTACCTCTAATAAGACCCAATGATACTAAATTCGCATACTATAAAGTAAGTTCCATGAAATCCGTAATGTGTTACTCCAAGTAAACATATTGAGATCTCATAGTATAAAGCATCTGCAACTGAATTATCTTCAACTGCACTGCGAATATTTCTTCTAGCCATATTGACTAAGCGCAAGGCAAGAATAACACGGTGTCTCAAACTCTTGACGGTTTGATTCTCAAGTATTCCTAAGAATAGAGAATTATAGGTGGGAGGCCGTGTCATTTGTGTGTGTAGAAAATCATCTTACAATATGCAGAGTGGCAAGATCTTAATATGGCTGGGATGGCTTGTGAGAGTAACTGCTTTCAGGTGGACGAGCAGGACAATCCACAAGGGATTTCAATGATTCCAATGGGGACAATGTCTTACTTTTCCCTGTTTCTCTGAGGGAAAAAAAGTTGGAGAGTCTTGGCAGGCTAGTTCCAACAGGGAGATGCTTTGTCTGCCTTACACATTTAGTTTATTATTAAGTAGATCATAGAATCATAGAATTGTAGTGTTGGAAGAGATCCTGAGGGTCATCTAGTCCAACTCCCTATGGGGCAGATAACAGATATTAATTCTTAATATATTTCTAAGGGAATTATGCATTGCTGAATTAAATAATGTTTTATATATGACACATTTTGAAGGGGGTTGGAGGAGTCACAAAAATATTCTGCTGGTATACAATCACAGTATCACAGCAGGGAGACCAAAAGGAGCACTCATTAATTAATATTATTATATTTTTAATTGAGTTGCCACAAGGAACCATTTATGAATATGGCATTATAGTAAGGGACAGAAGTGCTTTGTTTTGTTTTGTCTTTTAAAAAAGAATGCAGTTGGGATAGTCTTAGAGGCTACAAAAAGCCTTTGGGTGCAGATGTGGCCTACAGGCTTTGAGTTAATCACCTTGTTTTAAAGGTTTCTAGGAAGCGTAGTTCAATCTAACCCACTTTTCCTTAATTAAACATTGAAATCTTTGCATGTTAGTTATTGTAGCTATTGTAGTTAATGTATTTACAATTGACACTGTAAATAATGTCAGTAGATGGCCTTTGAGGGGGTTTAGTTTCACCAGTTCTGCATAAGAAATGTCCTTTATCAGGGGTCAGCAACCTTTTTCAGCCATGGGTCAGTCCACCGTCCCTCAGACCATGTGGTAGGCTGGACTATATTTTTTGGGGGGGGGAATGAAGAAATTCCTTTGCCCCACAAATAACCCAGAGATGCATTTTAAATAAAAGTACACATTCTACTCATGTAAAAACACGCTGATTCCTGGACTGTCCATGAGCTGGATTGAGAAGACAATTGGGCCACATCCAGCCCCCAGGCCTTAGGTTGCCTACCCCTGTCCTTAATACACATGTACCTTCCAGGCCAGGGATCAGCAGAGACATTTGTGGTGCCTGTCAAGAGGAGGAACTGCCTCCTCCTTCTAAGTCATGCAAGAAAATGGATTTAGAGAGATTAAAAACTAATTTCCTGACTGGACATGGACCACTGCACAAAAAAGAACTGGAAAGAAAGTGTGTGGTTCTTAATGACCAGAGAGTTCTGTCTCTGTCTAGCCAACTGTCCTTCCGGAAGGACTCTATTACTTCAGCTCATGCTTCTGAAGAGCTGTAGCTGATGACTATTAAAATTCTTTGCTTTTGACAAGATTCCCAGATACTTACCTTACCGTACAGTGTAAAATGTAGCTAGAAAGATGTGATAATAAATGTAGCTAGAAAGTTCCTGTAATGGAACAAGGCCCACTGAACATGGTGAACATGCACAGGGTTGGACTGCGTCTCTGAGTATGCCTTCCTAAGTCCACTTCCACTGAACTCCATGCTTAAGATGGCATTGTGAAACTCTGAAGTGATTGACTATGTAAGCTTTTGTTTGTTTGTTTGTTTCCTTATGCACAACTTAACTGTTATGTTCTTGTATTTCTTAGGTGCTGAAGTGATTTTTATAAACATGACGGCTTACAATGATGGCCATCTGCAGACATCATTCTGGATTGTGGATAGGCAGCATGTTTACATTGGAAGTGCCAGTTTAGAATGGAAGTCACTGTGGCAGGTACTTTCAATTTATTTATTCATTTAGAGCATTTTTTTATCTTGCTCTTCAGTCAGAGGGGCTCTCAGCAGGGACAGACTTTAGTACAGTGGTACCTCGGGTTAATAACTTAATTCGTTCTGGAGGACCTGAAACTGTTCTTAACCTGAGGTACCATTTTAGCTAATGGGCCCAGTCCTGCTCAGCAGGAGTAAGGATCCGATGGATTTAAAGAAAAGACCTACTACGTGATTTTAAAAAAATTGGAAATTGAGCTTGTATTTTCGGCATCTTAAAATCCCTCAAGGAACCATTCTTATTGATCAGCATTTGTTTTCAGATGTATTCATGTGTGAAAAACAACCCATTCAGTAATGTTTGTTGGTTGTGGTAACATGCTGAAAAGTGCTCTTTGACTTTGTATTTGTCACACACTATACTGCAGTGTTCTAAATAACAGGAGATTTTATCAAATCATCTCTGTATTTGAATGTCTTTCATTCTGTTCCTTTTTTGAAATTCCTGTCAGAAGCAATAGTTTAAATTGTAAGCAGTGGGCAATTTTTAAAGAAAACTCTAGACTTAAATATGGTATCTCTCATTGGGTGAGTGCCAAGAATCTGTCTCTTCCCATGCAGTGGGAAGTTATCATCTATCATTCTAGCGTCTCCCCTGGAGATGTACCAGAAGTGAATCCTTTCGTTCTAACTAGCCTGTATATTGCATTCTAGCAAAACCAAAGAAGGAGCTAATGCAGCTTACTGATTTGCTAATTAGGCAGCAAAGCAGTTTTAACATGACACAGACTAAAGCATGATTCCCCAGTGGGGGCTGTCCTGGAACCCACATGTGGTCTGGGCATATGGACTGGCTGAAGAGCAGAATCAGAAGTCATGGCAAGCGAGGAGCTGACATTGCAGGAGGAGATCTGGGGGTAGTAAGAGCATGGTCAACAAATATATTCAACCAGGGGCAAGTGCCCCAGACTATTTGGTGAAAAGAATACTCCATAGCTCACATTCCTTACCCATCCCTGCTCAAGTTTTGATTTGCATTGCACTTTGGAGAAAATAAAAACAGTAAGAGTCTCTCCTATTCTTTCTGATATTCTCCAGACTTCTGAGATGAGATGACTCTTGATCAAGTCCCCTGGGTGATGCATGAATGCTGGCTGTTGTTCATCTTCATTGGTAGCAACCACAAATAGAGGCTTCCTATTTGACCTTATAGGACAAGGGTCCTGGACATCTGAGTAAGATTGTACAGAGCTAAAAACTTGGGAAATGAGTTGGACTCTGTGATTTTGCTTTGTGCGAGCTTTATTATATGCTCTGACTCAACTTATCAAATAAAGTTTCCTTCAACAAATAATCACTTTAAAGCAGTCCATCTCTAGCATCAAGTCTCACATGTGACCGAGTACAAGTGGCACCAAGTAAAAACCTCTTGAGCTTATGGAGCAGGGCCATATACAAAACAATTCATCTCTCTATAATGTTTCCAAGCCAGAGTTTACAATAAGATTTGTCAGCCGAGGCAGGATTTGTTCTGTTCAAGAGAGCTGCATCTTATCATTATGGAAATATATATGGTGAAAAGAACACTATATCAGTCTTTTACTGTTTTGAAGCTAATGAGTTTTTTTGAAGTTATGAAAAGGCCCAGCTGGCTCTTTTAAGATAGGACATTAATGACAGTCAGCTGAATTAAGTTCTTTTACTGTACATCAAATAATACTGGGATTGATAGGAACTATTTTTTCACATTTCCACTTGGGATGCTGTTATGCTGGAATTTGATCCAGTATGACTATGATAATTTTACACATCAGTGCCTGTTTTCCAGTTTTGGAAAGACAAACTACCATATTTATTTATTTATTTATTTATTTATTTAATTTCTATGCTGCCCTTCATCTGAAGATCACAGGATGGTTTATAGTAAAAAAAAACCCTCTCTATATATAGGTAAAGGTAAAGGTACCCCTGCCCGTACGGGCCAGTCTTGACAGACTCTAGGGTTGTGCGCCCATCTCACTCTATAGGCCGGGGGCCAGCGCTGTCCGGAGACACTTCCGGGTCACGTGGCCAGCGTGACATCGCTGCTCTGGCGAGCCAGAGCCGCACACGGAACGCCGTTTACCTTCCAGCTAGTAAGCGGTCCCTATTTATCTACTTGCACCCGGGGGTGCTTTCGAACTGCTAGGTTGGCAGGCGCTGGGACCGAGCAACGGGAGCGCACCCCACCGCGGGGATTCGAACCGCCAACCTTTTGATCGGCAAGTCCTAGGCGCTGAGGCTTTAACCCACAGCGCCACCCGTGTCTCTATATATACTGTACTATAATAACGTTAAAAAACACACACCATAATAACAAGGCTTTGAACAACAGTGTAGATCCTGTGCCTTGAAATTATAATTAGGTCATTGCTATACTGCTTGATCAGTTTAGTTTATTCATTATACTAGTTTAAAATATGTGGCGTTGCATTGGAATGCTAAATAAGGACAACAGATTTATGAATGGTTATTGTAATCTGCTAGTTTTAGGACTAGGCACAGCACTGCCCACAACCCAAGATCACAACCTGACCTGGGGAACCCCTGTTCCTCCCTGGAATGTCCTGTTTTGACGGACAGAAGGGAAACCTCTGTGCTAGAAGAGTCACACAGGTTTCACTCTGTAGGCGGTGGCTAGCAGGTCTGGATGGAGGGACACCTCTGCCCAGTTGACACTCCCTACCCTAGAGCTTTTGGATTCCAACCGTAGACTAGGCCCTATCCATCATATACACGTGGACTGCACAACTATGTGTTTCTCCTAATGCCAGGGCGACTGTGAAGTTGCAAGTGATGTTTTCATAATTGTGTCCATTAATCCTCCATACAGTATTTCAAAGAACTATAATTAGACAGTGCTTAAATTTTTAATTAATGCAAGCATTATATCATTCTCACGATGGATGGCTCCATTCCAGTTCTGAAATTAGAATTAGAATTATGAAATGAGAGATCGGCTTGTCTACTGCAAGTTGGATTGGCAGCATTCATGTGCTGCATGATTGCAAGAAAACCTCTGATCGGTTTTTTAAAAAACATAAGAGCATTAAAATTATCTATAAAAACAGGTATGTAAAAATATTCAAAAGATGATAAAAATAGTAGCTAAAGAAAAAGCACATGTCTGGATAAGCTTGCATAGAAGAGTTGGCTTGCATAAAATGAGTTACATAAAATAAAAATTCCACCAGATGTGGCTTTTCCTGTTATTGTAAATAGGAGATGTTAATTTTCTGTTCTATGCGATTTTTTAAAAGTACAGACCTAAGTTCAACATGAGCTAGACATCCTTAAACCCATTGGTTTCAATGGCCCTAAGCAAGCCTACCTTTCTGGAGGACTTAGGCCACAGTCTGGACCTGCTGTCCCTAGATTTTCTACAGGATTATTACCAATAAATTATTTCAAGTGATTTTTAAGATAATGTTCTCTCTCCGTTTTGATTTCAGCTACAAGACATCACATTTCCCTTCTTCCTTTCTTTTTATCTATGGCTTATTAGGGTTTTCACAGAATTACAATAGAATTACAGCCCCTCCTTTCTTCCCCCCAGTTCCCAGCATCCTTCCCTCCAACCTCTTTCTCTCTCTTTTTGTAGCTACTGTATTTTCATCTCTCATATTCAGTTGTTTGATGTCCCACAAGAGATACAATTACTTCCAGTCATTGTCTTGTGGACTCAGAAGTATGAAGCACTGGAAATGGAGCCACTGCTAATGGGATATGCGCTCCTCTTTTGAACAGAATTTTTTGTGAATGTGCTCATGCCTAAAGATTGAAAAGCAGAAAAGTCATGGTGGTGCCACTTCTTGCATCAATGTTTAGTGGACTTGAGGGCAACGTGCGACACCTCCCCCCAAAAAGGAACACATCAGCATCATAGTGGTGGAATGCAGAACATAACAGTCAGTGAAAAAACTTGACAAAACTCTGCCCCACCAACAAAAAGCCTTGGTGTGGTGTAGTGGTTAAGTGGTTAAGTGTGGTGTAGTGGTTAAGTGTGGTGTAGTGGTTAAGAGCGGTGGACTGGTAATCTGGTGAACTGGGTTCGATTCCCCGCTCCTCCACATGCAGCTGCTGGGTGACCTTGGGCTCGTCACACTTCTTTGAAGTCTCTCAGCCCCACTCACCTCGCAGAGTGTTTGTTGTGGGGGAGGAAGGAAAGGAGAATGTGAGCCACTTTGAGACTTCTTCGGGTAGTGATAAAGCAGGATATCAAATCCAAACTCTTCTTCTTCTTCTTGGTAGACTGCGAAAGCCTTGGGGGAGTATATGGCCCGTTAGCAATGCGTTAACAATCCCTGGCTTTCTCTAAGTGCATGAAGATGACGTCTTACGATGTTTCTTGTGTTTGGAATATGGTTACCAGATTTTTTTCAATGAATCCTGGGACACTTTTTTTTTCTGAAGCTGAGTAGTAGTGGGGATGGTGAGGCAAAAGACCCTAGGCCCAAGCACACATGCATATTGTATAAAACTGCAAAGCCCTTCTTTTGCACAATGTGAAACATAAATGCGCAGGTTTTTTTTAAACTGGGCAACGGCGTGCCGCCCTCCCGTGATTCCCAAGCCTTCCCCAATCTCCTTCCCCCTTTGTTTTGACAGATCAAGGGAGGCTCGGGAGTCACAGGCGGGCGGCCATTGCCCAGGAGGGGCCAGCCTGGTAGTGCAGTTGACTCCGGCTGACTTCAGGAGCAGCTCCTGAAGCCAGCCAGAGCCAACTGCGCTACCAGGCTGGCTCCGGGCTGCTGAGGCTGCCGCTGCCACGTTTCCTGGGGACAGATTTGCAAATCTGGGGACATTCCGGGGACGGAATTTGTCCAGGGACAGATTTGCAAATCTGGGAACTGGGGACGTCTGGTAACCCTTGTTTGGAAGTATTTGCAAAAAGTGTTATGGAAAATGCAGCATAGCAATATATGTGGGATGTAACCAAAGCAATAAAACAGAGTAGTATAAAGCTACAGTAAATCTAAGAAAAGGACTAAAAATGCAATCTAGCTGCTACAAGGGGAGAATAATACATATTTATTACTTAAAGTAATATACTGTGCAGCTGTACACAGATGAAACATTAGCTGATATTTATATTAATATATTCAACTTCCTTGGGCTTTTTATTCCAATCACAGTAGGTAGCAGGAAAAATAAAAACATTTTGCATTCATATTTATATTGAACAGGATTTTTGCAGTAGGCTTAGGCTAAGAAAAGCAAACAGTACTTTCCCCAGGAAATAGAAAGTAGATATTGAAGTTGATGTTAGTACATGATATTCAGCTGTGAATATCAAGTTGAACCAAGTTGATTCTCATAAGGAGCAGTAGTTTTGAGGATATAAAGGACTAGGCAATGAGTAATATGCAATTATTAACAACATCATCATCATCATTATTAGTGATGTGTAGAAAATTTTCTTTCTTCCACCATGTTCCGCTGGATATAAATTTAACTTTCAAAAAAATCAAATACTTGTGTTGTGTCCCAAGATTTACTTTGTTAAACCAGGACTCCCACATTACCACATTATGAGAGTTGTTTCCTAGTTCTGCTGGATCTCTCAGCGGCCTTTGATACAATCGACCATAACATCCTTCTGGACCGTCTAGAGGGGCTGGGTGCTGGGGGCACTGTTATACAGTGGTTTCGCTCCTTCCTCCTGGGCCGTGTTCAGAAAGTGGTGGTGGGGGATGAGTGTTCAGACCCCTGGGCCCTCACTTGTGGGGTGCCTCAGGGTTCCGTCCTCTCCCCCATGCTTTTTAACATCTATATGAAGCCGCTGGGAGAGATCATCAGGGGGTTTGGACTGGGTGTCCATCAATATGCAGATGATACCCAGCTCTACCTCTCTTTCAAATCAGAACCAGTGAAGGCGATGAAGGTCCTGTGTAAGTGCCTGGAGGCGGTTGGAGGATGGATGGCGGCTAATGGATTGAAGTTGAATCCTGACAAGACAGAAGTACTGTTTTTGGGGGACAGGGGGCGGGCTGGTGTGGAGGACTCCCTGGTCCTGATTAGGGTAACTGTGCCCCTGAAGGACCAGGTGCGCAGCCTGGGAGTCATTTTGGACTCACAGCTGTCCATGGAGGCGCAGGTCAATTCTGTATCCAGGGCAGCTGTCTACCAACTCCACCTGGTACGCAGGCTGAGACCCTACCTGCCTGCAGACTGTCTCGCCAGAGTGGTGCATGCTCTAGTTATCTCCCGCTTGGACTACTGCAATGCGCTCTACGTGGGGCTACCTTTGAAGGTGACTCGGAAACTACAACTAATCCAGAATGCGGCAGCTAGACTGGTGACTGGGGGCGGCCGCCGAGACCACATAACACCGGTCTTGAAAGACCTACATTGGCTCCCAGTACGTTTCCGAGCACAATTCAAAGTGCTGGTGTTGACCTTTAAAGCCCTAAACGGCCTCGGCCCAGTATACCTGAAAGAGCGTCTCCACCCCCATCGTTCTGCCCGGACGCTGAGGTCCAGCGCCAAGGGCCTTCTGGCGGTTCCCTCACTGCGAGAAGCAAAGCTACAGGGAACCAGGCAGAGGGCCTTCTCGGTAGTGGCGCCTGCCCTGTGGAACGCCCTCCCATCAGATGTCAAAGCGATAAACAACTACCTGACATTCAGAAGACATCTTAAGGCAGCCCTGTTCAGGGAAGTTTGTAATGTGTGATATTTTAGTGTATTTTTGGTTTCTATGGAAGCCGCCCAGAGTGGCTGGGGAAACCCAGCCAGATGGGCGGGGTACAAATAAATTATTATTATTATTATTATTATTATTATTATTATTATTATTATTATTATCAACAGATTGTCAATGTGTTAGCCATTCAGAAGAATATTTACAATATTAACAATATATTTGAAACTTCTTTACAGTAAGGTGCTGGCCTAATAATGCATTTATTTCGCACAGGGGCAATCACACTTGAGACTACTCAGAGTAATGAACTTCTGACCAAATTATGTTGACCAGTTGAGGTATTTTTGCTGGGCAATGTGCTCTCAATTATATGCACTTCTCCTTCACAGATGAAAGAGCTTGGAGTCATTGTATACAACTGCAGCTGCCTGGTGTTAGATTTACAAAAGATATTTGCCTTGTACAGCTCACTAAAATCCAAGAGCAAAATCCCACCTCTTTGGTCTAAGAGACTGTATGCAGTATATGGCACTGAAAATAAACTGGCCCTTGAGTTGAATGAAACCAAATCAGAAGTCTTTGTTTCGGTGAGTCGCGTTTGTGTTGGTTTGCTTTGGTTTTGTGTGCTTGTGCTCTTTGTTTATTATATTCTTTTTAGACAGGTTGAGGTGTTAAAGCCCTATGTAAGTTCAGGTTGAATTAATATCTTCACATTTCCTCTTAAATAACATCTGACTGGCTCCCATCAACGCCTTAGAACTTGGCTGCCACTGATCTCTGACACAGTCTATATTTTTATTATTTAGAAGCTGTCCACAATTCCAATCTACAGCTGCCTTGCTAAAATGTGCTTAAGAAGAATGAAATGTGTGATGTGTAACACACAAACTAACCACTTCCTGCTCTCTTCAGAACCCATTTAACATTTTTTATAGCTTCAAAGAAGACTACAACCCAATGATTCAGGAATGGGGAGAGAGTATTAAAAACCTCATGGCCACAGGTTAGCCACACTGATTTAAATCTATTTATTTATTTATTTATTTATCTATCTATCAATGACTGCTCCAATAGTCTCCCAGTGGCCAATTTTTTGTGGTACACCAGATTTGTCATTTAAAAAATGAAAATTATTTTAATTTATTTTTTAGTTATTCTAGGTTATTGATCCCATTGGTACCTACTGTTATACAGAAGATTTTTAAATTTGTCCATTTCAAAAACATTTTTTTTAGTTTTTTTTAAGAAAACCTAATTGAGTTGGTTTTTTTTAAAAAAAACTTTTTTTAAAGTTTTGGACCACTCTTGCAAGTACAAAAAGCATATTGTAACCTCCTAAGACCTACCAAATTGTTCTTGCCTACTTCTACACTTTTGCCATTCCCACTTTAACATGTGGCACCTGATTGAGCATGGGTCAAAATGACCCTCAGCTTGAAAAAGCTGACCAGCCCTGATTTAAATGAAGGCAATTTCATTCAGTGATTTAAATCAGCAAGAAAAGAGACTTATCCACCTGAACAAAAACATGTCACATGCAACTTCCGTTACAGATCCCTTATAACCTCTCTTTTATTAGTTCTTAAGCAAGTAGAACCTGCAAAAATATGGTGTCTCAAGTGTTTCTGTCCCAGCCAGTCAGCAGTACCTTTTCTAGAATACTACATACAATCCCCACCCCACCCAGTTTTCTATTTGTTCCCCCTCCAGTCAGTCAGCAGTCTACATCTACTGAGAATGCTCAGTCATCATCAGGTTTTAAGTCCACCCACCTACAAAGGGCTTGTCCCCTGAAGAGTTGTTTTGTATTTCTGCAAGTTCAAGCCTGCTGATATCACCCTCCCATGTGAGGATGCTGCTATTGTGGCTGCATAAGTACAGTCGTACCGTGGAAGTCAAACAGCCTAGTTCTCGAATGTTTTGGCTCCCAAATGATCAAAACCCGGAAGTGACTGTTTCGGTTTTCAAACGTTCTTTTGGAAGCCGAACATCCAACGGGGCTTCTGCGGCTTCCGATTGGCTGCAGGAACTTCGACTTCCAAGGTACGACTGTATCCACATGTAGAATTACGGAGCTATAGACTTGGAAGGAGCCACGAGGATCCTCTAGCCCAGGCATCCCCAAACTCGGCCCTCCAGATGATTTGGGACTACAACTCCCATCATCCCTACCTAACAGGACCAGTGGTCAGGGATGATTGGAATTCTAGTCCCAAAAACATCTGAAGGGCCGAGTTTGGGGAATCTCTCACCTAACATGGGGCTAAGAAGTTTGCTGTTAATATACAGGACAGCTCGTAGTCATCAGAGAACACATTTCTGGATAAAAAACCCGCCAACAGTGTGCATACATTATCATGTGGTAAAGAATGCCAGCAAGAGTATTTTACCTTGTATGTCTTGACTACCTCTTTCTCCTTTTTATGCTTTGTGCCTGCGATTTTAAGTCTGGGTGCTCTATCTTCAGCAGCCATTGTGATATAGTTGCTAAGCAACAGAAAATCATCTCTCTGATAAACACAAAAGAACATGTACTTTCTGTGTAAGGTCGTGGAAGCTGCTGACTGCTTTTCAGTATTAATGACTTTACTGTTTGAATTATTTATTATTGCATTATTATCACACAGACAGCCAGGGTGTAACAGTGATATAGCTATGCACACACCACACATGCCAGACTGGGTATAATTTTTGCAGACAAGGAGGAAAGGAAATGGATAGAACCTAAAAAAAAAAAAAAAAGTAACACAAGGGAAAATGTAACATAAGCGTTGAAGGCTTAGCTTGCCAGTTGCATTAAGCCAACAATAAATTTTTCAAGTTTCATAGAACAATGGCTTTCAACAGCAACAACTATCATTATCTTGCTCAACATGTACCTGTAGATATAGATGGTTAGCCCTAATTTGAAAAAATATGGTTTTTGACAGTGGTTTGGTTGCAGTAGCTTCTGTGCAGGAATGTCAGGAAGTAACATGTTGTTTTAGCACTTAAAAAAATTAGGATACACATGCTGGCTCTTTATGGGGGTCTGTTTAAAATGTAAGGAATACAAAAAAATATGTTAGGTCTTTTGCTGGGTCTACTTGATCCTACATTTCAGTATCAGAGATAAGGGTTGTATTCATATTTGAAAAGGTTGGGCTGATTCCTATGGCACATCAGACAGTAAGGAAGTGTAATAGCATTTGTATTAATTCTACACTGAAGAAATATGAAAAAGTAAATCCCATCCTTTGTACAACTTCTGATATAAATTTCAGCCTTTTTATCTTCACAGAATTCTCCCAAACTCCTATGCCCTAAGGACAGGGTTTTGGATGTTGATGCTATCTATAGTGTTGTTGATAATGCACAGCAATTTGTGTACATAGCTGTTATGGATTATCTGCCTATTATCAACATCACAAATCAAACAAGGTTAGTGAATACCGGAAATCTACATTTATCCGACAGTGTACCAAGAGATAAAAACTGTTGCTTCTGAAATCGACAGCTATTTAGAGATTTCCATGGGTCAGTTCTTCTCTTGGATGTCAATGAGTTTGCAAATATAAAATCTAGAGCAAATATCAAATCTAGAGCAGGGAGTGATATAAATGTAATTGTAACAAATCATGTCTGCTCCTGAACAGAAATTGCTCAAATAGCATACTAGTTGAGAAGAGCACAATCATTTATTAGCTATGGGTCTCTTAACATTAAACAAACAAATAAATAGAAGATGATAGTTGAGCATCTCCAATATTTATCCACAGAAGACTTTGAAATGTTTTCTTTTTGATTAGATCACCAGACTGGCAAAAATGTTCCACAGCCAGAGAAAAATAGGTAACATGCCATTTGACATGCTGTTTACTTCCCAAGCTTAAGTTATCAATTAAGTGTTTTTTCCTAACATGTTACTCATTTAAAATGGACAACTGGATTTTAAGCTTCCAACAGTTTATAAGTTTTTAATCCTAGAAGTGCATGTACCATAATCTCCCCATCACAACCTGCCTATTAATAGTGACCGCCTGGGGAAGAAGGATTTATTTTTCCATGTTGGGTGTGTAGTCCTTACATAAGGGCTATCTGCTCCCTGAAGGCACCATGAAAAACTGTGGAGCCCTATGAAGTACCAGCTTCTATCCCCCCATTTCAGTGCTTACGCACCTTCTTATAGCTATGGAGATACTATATATATTGGCAGTGGTGCCCTCCCCATGGAATGCCCTCCCAGCAGATGTTAAGGAGATAAAGGACTACAAACATTTTATAAGACTTCTGATGGCAGCCCTGTATTGGGAAATTTTCAGCGTTTTGACGTTTTATTATATTTTAATATTTTGCTGGAAGCCGCCCAGAGTAGCTGGGGAAACCCAGCCAGATGGGTGGGGTATAAATAATAAAATTATATATATATCCCCTAAAAATTGGAGAGGGATTTTACTAGTGACTCTGCTCTACCCATACCCTGAGGTCATCTTGGAAGCTCTTCTCCCTGTGCCTTCTCAATCAGAAGTTTGGAGGTTGTCATAAGTGCTTTTTCAGTGGTGGCACTCGGCTATGGAGTTCTCTCCCTAGCAAAGCCCACTTAACACCCACATTGCTATCTTTTTTTTGTGCCAAGTTAAGACTTTTTTTCTTTTCTTTCAGGTCTTTTAAGATCTGGTTTTAAGTTCCTATGGTATAGTAGTTTTAATCTATATATTTGGTGGCTACATAGATTATTTTGTTGTGCTGGTTTTCAATTTCAGTTTTCACACTGGTTGTTTCTTAAGCTCATTGTGGTTTTTCTGTACTATGGTTTTATTGATACATTTTTATTCTGTTTTTATTCGTATGACACCTAGACAATTTATTTTATGAGATTCTCATAAATAAATAAACGAAATACTAATTATCAGTTGGAAAGTTCCTTGCCAACCCTTTCAGTCCCTGGTATCTCACCACCTAGAGAGTTCCTAATGGCAGTTCTATATGATGCAGCTGGTGAATTATCCTTCTTGAGTTCTAGTCCTCTGGCCAGTCATATAATGCAGAACTCTGTATTCTGCTAACAGCTGCACCACAGTAGACACAGCTGGATGAAGTTCTTGTTTTCTTTAGTTTTCCTTGAGTTAGCAAATCCTTCTTCTCTAAAAATTATGTAAATAACATTGGATGCTCTTTCCCTAGGTATTGGCCATATTTGGATGGAAAGATAAGAGAAGCTCTGATTTTACGCAATATTAAAGTACGACTCCTCATAAGTTTATCAAAAGACACAAATCCACTCACATTTAACTTTGTTTCATCTCTTAAAGCAATTTGCACCGAAGTTTCTGGCTGTAGGTTAAAAGTTGTAAGTATTCCTCATGTTGTCTCTTATAAACCTAAAACAATTTCCAAGTAAATTTGTTCAGCTGCCTAGTGAGGACTCCATGTTTGACTTCAAATAACTGAATTACATTTTGAAGCGGATTATTAAAGTGTAACACAGTGTCTTCTTTTCTGTCAACATAAAATAATAGCAGACTAGTGCCGAATACCTCTGTCTAACAATGGGCAATCTCACCCATTCAATGCACCTTCTCTGCTTAGATTGCACTTAGTTTTCGTATTGACAATTCCATACTCTGTGGCTCCGATATGTGGCTCTTTTCATTAATGCTGATAATATAAATTGCTCTGAAGAACAGCATATCGCTGAAAAGTATTGGGTTCACAAGTATTTCTTGGCTCCAGAAATGTTCTGTGCATCTTTTACACCTTTTGTCTTAATTACATGAAGGGAGAAGCTTCCTCAGAACCTAGCTTCCTTTCTGCGTAATACACACATGCTTCATTCAGACATACTGCTGCTTGATATGAATGCCCCTTGGACTTATTGCTTTCCCACTCTCCTCATCTAGCATAGCCACAAGGAGGAAATTAGAAGCTTTTAATTCTGTTTTTAATTAACTGCACTTATGACTGAAACCAGTCAAACCGTGATTAGGGTTAACTATGACTGAGGGAAACAAGCCGTCTTCAAACCAGTTTATGAAGATACTTTCCCCTCAGATAGTTAAGTCTAGCCACAGTTTTGGGTGCAGAATGAGACAAGTGTTGTACATTTTCCAGCGTATTAAATGCCAGTGTGTGGCCATCATAAAACAATTTTCTCTATAGCTTAAGGGTGCTGAGAATAAAGAACATTGACTGAACAAAAATCTTGCAAGTGGCAGCCTACCAATGTCTTTAAACCATTTATCCATTTATATTTTTTCTTCTTTCACATCTGTATTCAGAATGCCTGGTACAACCCAGAGCAGCAGTGAGCTAGGAGTGGGATATCGCAAGCCAGAAGGGTGTATGGGTATTCTGTTTGTCAGTAGTCAGCACACATTCTGGGTTTACCTGCAGCTGTACACCTGCAGAATGCTGATGCTGATAGTTTTCTGCCTTTGTCACTGCCTTCAGGTGTTTCCCAGGTAATCCCCCTTCCGTATAGGTCATTACTTACTTAATTACATGTAGGCAATTAGACACCAGGCTTTTGAAAGCAACCTGTTAGTTTCTTTGGAAATCCTCCAGAATGCAATCAGCAAAGGTATAGGAAACGTGTCATTTCCCATAAAATCCTTTTAAACTGAGGTTAGTTCATGATCTTTTTTTATTCTATAATTTCACTTTTTCAAAACCGGTATGTTATCATCTTTAAGTTTTCCTTCTGCAGTGCAAACAACACATTCTCTTTCACTATCTTGATATTCTTTAATGCAGAAATTCTTTGACCTTGAAGAAGAAAGTGCTTGTTATTTTAAGGAACAGAAAAACTCTTCCCTTCCTAAACTAAATCGCAACAAATATGTGGTGACTGACACAGCAGCTTATATTGGTAAGTAAAGAATTGAATAATCTGATTCCAGGCTGTTGTTTGTACATACGGTACAAATCTAAAATAACAACTGATTGCACAATTAAGAATTAGATAAACTTCGGCTTGTTGGTAAATGTTAAATGCAAAAAATCAGAAATATATAACAGTATCCATCACCCTCTCACCCTACTTGTGAGTCATTGAAAACCTCATGTAGGAAAGTAAGGTCCAGCTACTTTTAGCATAGTGACATGCATAAAGGAAAGCATTTCAATGGAGAAAGGTGAGATTAAGAGAGAGAAAGCTTACACCCAATGTTACCATATCCTTGTATGTGCTTTCATTTATTTGCAGGTAATTTTGACTGGGTTGGGACCTATTTTAATCGTAATGCTGGAGCTGGCCTTGTCATCAACCAAACAGACACAGGAAACAAGACCAGCATCATCAAGCAACTGAAAGCTGTGTTTGAAAGGGATTGGTATTCAAATTATGCTAAAAGTTCGACCACAAAAATTCCAAACTGTTTAAGCTTCAAACATAACAAAGCAGCAGCAAATAAGACTGCCCAAAGCAATGTGAATTGAAGCCTGTTCTGCTGTTCACTGCAACTAATGGAGAAATAGAATGGGACTGATACTGATCTCCCCTTTCATATTTACAGACAATAGACTTTTTAAACAAAGCAAAAGAAAATTTATAGGAAAAAGCACACTTATATAAAATGTTCTTTAAACTATATTCTCTATACTGAATTATTTACAAATATTAGATTTGTTACTGCTGAAACTGAATGTCATTTCTGCTTTATTGTTGGTTTGGAGGTATCACATTTAAATTTAAAAGCATGCTTTGATACTTTGGTTTTAGAATTATTCCTACCTCTCTTTTCTGATTAGCATAAACAAGGCAAGTTTGATTACTAAACAAAATTCTTAGATTGGTTGATATTAAAGTACAGATTTTACCCGAAGGAAAAGATACAGGTATAAGCAAGGTTTTTATGATATATCTCCATTATGTGACCATCCTGAAGCAATTTTTTTGTTTCAGCATTATTGACCTGATTTATCCCACTATGCCCAGTCCAAATGTATTAAAATTTATCTATTTTCTTGCTTTGCTCCAGTCATGATGCAAAGGGCACAAGTGAATCAACTTTAACTGTTCAGTCAATGGGATACTAGTCCAACTAACTCTGATTTCTGACAAATATTTTATTATGATTCTCTTGCTTCATCACTGTAAGTAGGTATGTTAAAAATATTTTTGTTTTGTTTTATTTTTTTACATTGGGCAGCAATAGTGTATATGTAATTTTCTTCTTCAAAGTAGCATATTTGTCAATTTGGGGGTAATGATTACCATTCGACTAAAGTAAACATGTAACTTTGTTTCTGTAGAACTAATATGTACCAGCATTCCTTTGGTTCCCCTGCTTTGTTTTTCATGAAATAGGGCATTACCCAGCATAAGCACAGAGCCCATGCATGGAGGCTTCCCAAAGGTCTTGATAGAGTCCTGTTTCCTGCCCTCTCTGCCTACCCTGGCAGTGCAACAGATCATAACGGAGAAAATGAGACATTTGAGCATGTCTCCATTCTCCCTGTTACTTCTGCTCTCTCTGCCTATTGCAAATTGCTTATGTTTGGAGCATGAATAATTCGCATGGTGCGGATGATGGATTGCTGGACAGAGATATGAGAAACGTGCACAGACCTCCATTTCTCCTAGTGTCAAGCTGTCTTTGTACATACTCATCTGCATACATAGGTAGCTGGTAGAAGGTTGTTGCAATCATAGTGCAAATGGACCGTGCTCATGAAGTTTTGACGCACATCTGAAATTGCAGCTTTTGTAATGGGATACTGATTGAAATCAATTTAATTAAACAGATTTTGCCTACAGCTACTGGAGATTTTGTTAGCAAAGAAGCGTTGTGGATTCGCCCATAAAATGGCGACCCCAGTGTGAGATGTTTCACTATTTAAAAAGTCCTCATTTTACCATTTAGGTTACCTTGGGGAGGGGGTCCAAATGATTACAGTTTTATTTTCTTCCAGGTAAATGGAAGAACTTAGACTCAAGTTCTAGGCATCATTTTGGTTTAATTTACCAACCTTTCTTTCTTTACTTTTTTTACAATTTCTACCACAACAATAAAATGAATTCTATTTTTCCCTTTAAAGAACAGATTTATTTCCTAATATTCAATGCCATCAATGATGCCATTAATAAGTAGCAGTTTGTAATATATCACAATTTTACCTATAGAATTTCTGATTCTAAGAATCCAGTTTAATTTTGAAATCATAGATTGTGTCAATCCTGACAAGATATTAAAATCTCTGTCTATCTATACATACATCTGTTCACTTCTAGCACTGAAATGCATAGCTTACAATGTAGATGCTAATCCATGGTAATCATTTTAGCACAATTTATCAGAGCAGATTCCCACTACAAAAGTTGGACCAAAATTAATCTGTGTGACTCTCTCATCAAGTATCAGCTAGTGCCAGCAAGTCCAAATGCGCAATGTTCTTATTGTAGGGAAAAAATATGAGTCATTATGACCTACGTGTGGGGTAAATAACAAAAGAATCAGCCGCACGCCTGGATTCAAAATGCAGGGCTAATCTCACTTTCCAGCAGAAGAGAGCTCCCAGCAGCAGAGTTTGAATTCACAAAAGTCAAGCAACGGTATAGCGTTAGTAATATAGGTGGTTGGACCCTTTTATCACATTTAGTCCACTTGCAAACAGCACTCCACTCTTTTTACTCCCCTTGCAATGACCACACACTGTTAAGTAACTTTAAAATTCTTTACTTACAAAAGTTCCAAGGGTCAGATTTATGTATTTATCCAAGCAGCAGCAAGTGCAACATAGGCAGAATACTCTTTGGTACAAAATACAGAAAGATAGCTTCAAACATGTGTTCTAAGCTTGGAGCTTGCTCAGGCATGTCTTCCTTGGTCAGTTACATGGCATAAGGGAGAGGGAACAGAGATGGCTTCACTTTCTTCCTAATCAAAGAAGGTGTGTGACCTAGCTGAGTCTAATAATCCAGCTCTATGTCTTAACCCACTCATGCATAGTTACATTTGACTGCAATTTCCCACACTTATGCCAATGGTTCCAGGCCAAGGTTGGCAGTGTTTCAGCTGTGCATTTGGGTGGTTTGTTTAGTGTTTTTCATAGTTTATCTACTTGAATGGTGTTTGCTAAATGGCTTTATCAATAGTAATGCTGCCGTGAGACTAACAGGCATAAACACACCCAAGTGTAATAATTGTAAGCTACAATCCTAAAAGCAATTATACATGTCTGTGCACCATCAATTTTTAAGGAATCTGTATGTGTGTAGGACTGCAGCCACATACAAATCTCTGGGCACTTAAATGCACAATGAACCTCTGGTGCATTCAGTTATCCACATTCATATCAGCAGGACCAACTGCATTGTGTACACATTCATTTTCAATGAACACAGAAACCAGGCAGAGCTCTCAAGTGCTGAGCAGAATGCTGGATGTGAGGAACAGTGCTAGAATTGTAGCAACTCCAGTGTAATAAAGGTTTTGTTGATACAGCATGTTGTCCAAACCACAGAGCATCCTTGGCAGTAAGAAATAATAGGGAAGTGAAAATATACTTGATTTCAAAGACAGTCAACAAACCATCAGTAATTAAAGATGACCTTAGATGAAAAGTCATGATCACAATCCTGCTCACTGTTTTCTAGTATATAAAAGGCTGCATGATATGACTTGAGACTACTGGTGGGGTTTTGCATTAATGATCTTGCAAGCAGAATCCCATCAATGCACTCCCACCCAAGCCTTCTAATTGCTGGTGTGTTCTGTCATATTGCAATACTGATTTCCAAAAAAAATCCGCTTTATTCTTAAATCAATATAAGCTATAACTGTTGCTTGCTAGAAATGCATGCCTTCCAACATGTCGCAATGGAAAACCAGAACGCCAACTTCCGGGGCTGCAGTTGTAACATGAGTCTTGTGACTCGCATGAGACCACAGCCCTGAAAAAAAAGCTGGGGGGGGGGCAGGATCGCAGCAGCCAAAATGTGACTCCATTTTTAACATGCTTGGAGATCAATGTATGGTGCCAATATAAATAGCTTTATGTCAGGGTTTGTGTGCCTCTAGCTCCAATGTCTTCCCCATATAATCTGCAGTAATGCAAGCTGAATAGCTGCAATGTGCTGTGCGTGGGGACTACCTTTAGAGAGTCATCAGAAATATCACTTGGGGCCCAGAACGCTGCAACAAGGATGTTAGTGGGTGCTTGCCATGGGATGATGATAACTCCTGTACCGATGCAGCCACACTAACTGCTGATTCATTTCCAGGCACAATTCAAAGTGTTGGTGATGACCTTTAAAGCTCTAAATGGCTTGGATACAGGGTTCCCGAGGGACTGTTTCCTTGCATTTAAGCATGCCTGCTCCTTGACTGGAGAGGTATTTTCCATTCCCATCTGTTGCTGAGACATAATTGGTAAGGCCTTATTGGTGAGCGTGCCCAGATGAGAAATAACTTACCCAATGAGACCTCCCTTACTGTTTTCCACTGACTGGCTAAAACAGCAGGCATTTGTTCTGGTAGGCAGCTGTATTTTGATATAGATCTAACAATTTCTTGTTTCCTGCTATCATTAATCAAAACACTTGTCCACTCTTGGGAACAGCTGCTTCCTGCCATGTTTGGTGTATTTATAATACAACTATTTTGGGTTGTATTGAGAATGAATAAAAAAATGGGAATAGATAACACATAATTTTGCATTAAGACTGCAACCTTATGCAAACTTACCTGCAAGTAAGCACCATTTCATTGAGTGGTACTTTCTATTGAGTAGAAATGTACAGGATTGCACTGCGAAGCTTATAATTATGGTTTCTAAGCATGCAATAGTATTGATGTACGACTGCATTTATCTTCAAAGATTATTGTACTTTTACAACTCGATCTGACAGTTCTGAAGCACTGAACAGATCAATAATTTTGTTGGCTTCTCTTCTTTCCTAAAACTTTAATCATTCCCACTGCTTTCCTTTGGATTATTTCCACTTTTTAAAGCATCTGTCTTCTAATATGGAGCCTAATATGGAGAAGGTGTTTCTCCAAGCAGTATCTTACATGTGCCAAACAAGTAGAAGGAGACTATTAATTCCTTTGTCTTGAATCCGATTCTTTTGGCATTGCAACCCAAAAACTGTGCTTATATTTTGTTCCATAGCATCATGCTGATTAATGTTTAGTTCATCTGCTGTGACGCCTTAAATCCTCAGCAGAGCTAATATGCAGCTAGATATAATTACAAAAATCATTAAGTGGCCATGTTCATCCATTAGAAAAATCCACATGCCACAGGTGGACAATACCTTTATCTGGACCAACTAAATTTCACAAAATACTGTGCATAATGCAAAATACTGTCTTTTAGTGCTCCAGAACGCTCATTCGGGCTGTATGTTAAATAAGTAGAGGAAAAACTGGGCATGATGTTGGAATGCAAAAGTCTGTCGTTCTTTACAGACTTTGCAAGTTTGTAAGATAACATGGGAGGTGTTGCTTACACTGAATTAGGTTAGTCTCAATTAGGTACAAAACCTAGTAGATTTCAGGTTGCACAAGGACTGCTGTTCTCACTACTTCTGTCTTCAACCAAACAGCACAGTAATTCCTTTCTAAATTTGTGGATGTGTTGAGTCTGCAAATTCATTTTGCCACTCTTGTTTATCTGTTTCAGTAGAACTTTGATAACTCTTTCCTTTCCAAGATCTAGCTCACAATAGTCTTTAGAGTTCCACAGATATCAGATTGGTCCTTAGTTCCAGTTACTCCAAAATTTGATTTTAGCATATTGTCCAAAATATATAATTGAGAATGATTTATAGGAGAAGTAAAGAAGTAAAGGAATTTCATGATACTTTAGAGAATAATGTAAATCTCTTCAGAAAATGAGAGAAAAGCCCATTCCCACCACTTCTTTCTTCCTTATTTATTGTTTTCGGTGCTTCCATTAGATAATGTACCAGATATTCAAACTGCACCAAAATGCTTCCCTTCATTAAGTGATCTGATCACATGTCTTGACGCTTTCTGGGGATATTGCTTTGGCTGCCTTTGGGCAGAAAATGTCATTTATAAATATTAATAAGATAATAAATAAGACCAAGAATTCTGAGTGCAGCTTCTTATATTAGAAGGCATCCACCTTATTCAAACTGATAAATCCATGGCTGTGAAGGCAGAATCTCACTGAATCACCAATTACTCGATCATTCGTGATATTCTGCTGACAGTGTTATTTATTTTATTATGAGCATCTAATAAAATTCTCAGGGTGGTTTACAATAAAATTCCGTAGAAAATGCACTTTAAGCAAAATATTTATAAATATGTGTAAAGCAATAACTAATACGCCTCTTTAAAGCTGAAGCAGCATAAACAATAGAAAAGCTCATAAAGGATTAAAAATGGGGGGGATTGCTTGGTCCCAAAACAATGACGTTGGTGAGTTTCTCTTGGGAGAGCATTTCATAACCGAGGCACTACCCTGAAAAGTCACCCTCAGTGGTAGCCACCTGCATTATCTCAGATGGCAGGACCAGCTGTAGAAGGTCTTAAGCTTCAGGAAGATACATATGGAAACAAATACTGCATCAAATATTGTAGTCCTAAGCTGCAAAGGGCTATAAAGTTCAAAACCAATGCTTTGGATTGTCCTGGAAATGAACTTGGTACTAAGAAGTCATCTGAACTCCCCAAACCATCCTACTGTGCTGTCACCCAAACATATGCAACGTGGCAGCTTTGTATGATGCCACTACGCACCAAAATATTGACAGTGCTGCTGCAAGTGAAACCACATGTCCCGGTGATTCCATCTTGTCCTTTATTGCCAATGAAAACATGAGACCAGACCATCCTGACTGCAGACATTGGTCATGTCTACAGTGACACAAGGCCAGACAGACAATTAGCCTGTCTGCCCAATTTTTACATCTTTGTTAGTGGAGGAAGTCTTAAGGCTAGGTCCAGGAATAATTTCACAGGGTTTTTGCATAGCATGAACAGCATCTTCTTTTCTAAGAAGGCATTCTGTGGTGTCGCTTAGCCTGCCTCTCAAATGTCTCTTTCCCTTGCTGGAGCCATGCATGCCTGCTTCTTTAGTATGGATTACAAATACGTGCCTATTGCTGAGTTCAGCAGTTGATTCTTTTTGGCTTCCATATTTATGCGCCTTTATTATAATATACCTCTGTGGATGGAGAAGGATCTAGCCTATGCATTAACATAGGAATCAATGGCAGATTTGAGCCTTATGAAGTGTAAGCAAGCTAGACACTTGAGCTCCCACACCCAGCTGATTTAGATAGGGGATCTTCTGGTTGCTCAGAAACAGGTGCCTTGTCAATATAGTTGCGCATTGTTAGAAACATATTTGCTTCTGTTCCATGTGAAATTCAATTTCTCCTTCTCCTGTCTCCTACCTTTGGGCTACAACTACTTCTAGATGGTCACTATTTTGTAGAATGAATTCATCCATATACTGGCAAATTTAGGTTGGTCAATAAACAACAGACATCGTTTAAGAGCCACACAAACTGTAAAAATCAAATCAGGATGCAAGCTCAATTAACAGGTAGTCTGTATCAAGTATAACACGGACATTGCAGATTGTTTGTTTTTAAGAATCAGTTTTAGGTAGTATGACAGAGCAATTCTTTCTATTGCATCTAATGGGTTTTAGGTAGAGTTTGCTTTCTGGGGTACTATTGTAGCATTTGCTGTAAAACAATGGAGTCTCACGGAACCCCGTCTTCTGAGTTAACTTGGCAACATCATATTCTGTTACTCCTTGGAAGTAACTAAGAACTTCCTGGCCAATATATAGCGAACATCCATATTTGCTACTCCATAGATACAATTGGAATTTAGAATAAAGCTTCCCATTGACTTTTGAAGTCAGGATGTATTAAGGGAATTAACATGTCTTACCGTACATACACTGCTTCTGTACTTTCACTGCAAAGCAGTCTATAAATCTGCAAAAAAGTCACTTAAAGACTGTGCTAAGTATTAAGCAGTATAAAAATATCTGAAATGAAATTAAAAATAAATTTCAGTAAGAGATTCCATTGGAAACATCTCAAATTTCAAAGTTCAGAGACTACTGTGAGCATATACAGGAACATCCAAGTGCATTATGAGGAACCTCCAGTCAGAATTGCTTTCTTTATTATATTTCTTCTACAGGAATTTTTGGGACCAGTCGAGTAAATTAGAGCCCAAATACTTTCCTGTCAATGCCTTATTTTAAGTAGACTGGAACTCATTTGGTACCTCCTTGAATTAATATAAGGCTGACTGCATGAAACCAGGCATTTGAGATTAATTCCTTCATTGCAAATATATGGGAGAACAATTTCTTAAAGGGCAGGCATTTAATGGAATTTTAATCTAAACAAATTCATAGAAGGATGAATTTTTTTCATCTGTTCCATTCAACAAACTTTAATGTACATGTCATATTTTATAATTGCCACTTTTCTGAATTTTCTCACAATCTTTAATAAGCAATTTCTAATTCTTGCTATTTCATAGAAGCAAGACCAACCGTTCCCTCTAAAACCTAAATCACATTTTTTCAACACCTGGGAGCTCAAAAAAGAAAGAAAAAAGAGTGTTTTCCCCTCCTGCTCATTTTCTCTTCTGTGATATTGACCAACCTTAATACTTGTGCTCTTTCAGGCAAAAAACACATGCAAACTCATGCATTGATTGGAAGAGGAAAAAAGGTAATGTCTGTCTGTGAGGTTTCAGATATATCTGGAATTGTTTTTGCTTGTTTAAGTGCTGTCACAGCTACCACAATTTAGAAGCTTAATATATGTGTTATCTTGGCAAGCAGAGAAGGCAATCCTATCTCCCAATGTTGATGGTTTGGGGATAGAATACAATATTGCACAGGACTGCTTCCTGTGCCCAGGAAGATTGAAATTCCTCACTGACAGTAACAAACAAATCTGAAACAGAACAGCTGGCAAGGTTTGAGATGTGGTGATGAGCCTGCTGTTCCTCTCCTCACTATAACCCCACTTAGAATAGCTCTGTTACCCATTTTCTTACTTCATCATTAAGGCACAACAAATATCATAGGAATCAAAGAACAGGTTTACCTGGCTATTCTATTTTCCCCATCAAATTACAGTGAGATTCATGTGAAGTTAGGCTGTCTATAAAGACAGCCAATGAGTGATGAATTCTGACACCATCATCCTTTTGATGGGTTGGAAAATCTTCTTTGCTAAACTAGGAAAGTATGGTGTGGGTGGGTGGTGTTTTTTTAATAACCCAGGAAACTTGTGATTTGCCACAACAACTCCAATGCAAACAAATAAGACAAGGAGGTTGGGGGATGCTGTTCCCCCCACCCCTAAATTACTATTTGAAAATCATGCATAGAATTTACAGGGGGAAGTAGTGTTTTGTATAGCACCACAAAATGTATGTCTGTTACTTTATGCATTCTTCTGACATCAAAGAGCAGAGATGCTTAAGCTCTCTTTGAAAACTGCATGGCTAGCTTATGCAGTAACTAGATGTGATAAGACTACTGTGTTGTTTTCTAAGACTATAATGTGTAGTTTGGACATGTAGCTAGAATCAGGGTTTAAGAGTTGTGGGCATGCTGCTGGCTACCTGCAGTATCAAGCATTCCCAGGTTCCTTTTAACCTGGATTTGCAACAACCACAACACCAAGAACACCTAGAGAGGCTGATGTCTAGAGGGAGTTATGAAAAAGCATGCATTATTTTGCAATTTGCTTTTAGTCCCTAAATTCTAGTTCTTTTTATGTCTGAACTATAAGCCTAAGAAAAACACAGTGAATATTTTATTTACTTGAGGCAAGCCTTACAGAGTCTCCAAGCAGGAGTCATTTGCATTGCTTAGACCTGTTGCATAGATCTGTTTTCTAGTGCACACGATAAATGAAATTTGCCACTGCAAAGTATTTTTAATTACCTCTTTTTTATTTGAGCAATCAATGTGCTGTGACTGGGGGGGGGGGAATCGAAACACAGGGCAATTGCTGCATGCTTATATAACTTTAGTTTTGTTATGATATAACTTTTATGAATGCCTATGCACTGTAAATGCTTTAATACTAGAATACTGAATGTTTTGTACCCCTTTTTTGTAATTACGCTCTATTTATTGCATGGTTCTTTTCATGGTTCTGTTGTCCCCATAAAGTACAACCAAGGAACATGTGGTATTTTATAACATACAAAGTTCAATGTCAACTTAATCCATTACAAGACATGGTTGCACCAAGACATTTTAAAGAAACAAAACATGGTAGGAAATGGGCTTCCTACCAACAATGGGCTTGGTTCACAGCAATACATGAGTCCGTGATCTATGTGTCTGTAACATTGTTGATTTTGTATAAATGGGACTAGAGGCCTTATCGGATCCTGGAGACACTTGCATAATCCAGTAGGGCTGTACAGGAATTAGTGTTTGCAAAATCAAAAGGGTAATCTGCAAGAAGGTGTGATCTGTTTGGATAAAACCTGTATATCAGATACATTGGCGCAAAACCACTTTGTCTGATATAAGAGATAAGAAGAATAAGCAATATCCTTAGTTGTTGTCATAGACATTGCCACACAGCAAGTGGTAACTATTTTGCCTGACATATGCAACTGTGCATAATATTATCAGGAATAAATGTAGTAGAAATAGGTCTACTATAGATCTGCAAAAATTATTCCATTCCATTTATATTGCAAAATAGATCATTCCAAACAGAAATATTTCATTTGGTAAGGCACTCTTGAATATGTGAGGCATTTTTCTTTATGAATAATAATTCTCGGGGATCCGAACAGCTGCTTTGGTTCATGTTCAGTGAAAATTTCGGCAACTTTTTCCTTGAACAGCAAAGTACAGTGGAACCTTGGGCTGCGAACGTGTCTCGTGCGGGAGGCACGTTCGTAACCTGCAGCGCTGCGTCTGCGCACACGCGGGTCACGAGTCGGTGCTTCTGTGCATGCGCAAAGCGCGATTTAGCGCTTCTGCGCATGTGTGAGTGCCAAAACCCGGAAGTAACCCATTCCGGTACTTCTGGGTTTGGTGTGGTGTGCAACCCGAAAACACATAACCTGAAGCATCTGTAACCCGAGGTCCCACTGTACTGTTAAGAGCTTAGGGATGCTTCTAAAGCAATATAACACTCAGCAAAGCAGCTCTTAGAGAAGAAATATGCTTGATTGTCCCTTTGGAATCTCAGAACAGGTTTTCATGCATCTTTGGATCCTACTGTATTTCTTACCTTTATAACACATTTATCTTAATCAAGTTTGAAAAACGTGTAAACACAAACAGTTTTCTCTAAAATGAACTTCCTTACCACCAGAGTGAAAAGTACAATTTGAGGGGAGGGGCAAAGACTCTGTACCTAATGACAAGATATATGTTGAGTGTTATTCCACTGCATGGCGCCCATCACAGAATAGGGAGGCAGAAGGAGGGAATGGACTATCCATCTATTTTGGGTCTAAAAGATAATCAGAGCAAAGGGCATGGAGTGTCCTTCTTCACTCCAGGTGCCTTGGATCAGGGCCAGGGGGTGCAATCATCACTCCACTGAAGTTACAGTGGTGAAAACTGGTTGTGAACTGGGCCCATTGTTTACAGTGTTACTAAACGTAACCAAAGATCATTTGAACAAAAATTGGAATACCAAAGGGTTGGATTGATCCAGAAATAGCTTTTTATTGTATTGATAGCTTTCATATCTGAAAAATCACTGAGTGAGGTGGCCAGAAAATTGGTGTTAAAATTTTTGAAAGAGGGCTGGTAATATATTTATACTGCTGCAAACTAAGTTACCAATGAAATAACACTAAATCAAAGTATTGTGTATTGAATTGATTTCAAGCTGTGTAAGAGTTGATTTTCATGCCGGTACTATCGACTTCTTTTTCCATCGCTTTGATATACCTGATATTCCACAGAATGTATTCCACCTAGCATTTCGTTCAGGCCTCTGTTTTATTTTCAAAAAGCAAGTTTTCATGCCGAGCAGAATAACTTTCTCTTTACTTCACAGAAATAAAATAAACGTGTTTCAGTACATTGCAGTGCCTCTTATTTTGGTGCAAAATTAGGGCAGCCTGCCTGCCAATGGCATGAGCTCCCCTTGTCTTTGTTCTGGTCCAAAAGTTCAGTCTGGTGAACAAATGCATATGATTTGATAGGAAATCCCACCAAGAACTGCTGTTCTCGTCCCAGACTGAAATAGAAATGAAAGAGAGAGGGGGAGACACACACACACACACACACAGAGAGAGAGAGAGAGAGAGAGAGAGAGAGAGAGACTGTTCCCTGTGGTGATGGCAAAATGTTATTTGAAGACTTACTTGTTCATTTTTTTATTATTTTAAATGGAGCTAGGATCGACTGCAGGTCCCTGTACTATGCAGTGCAGTGCAGATTCTGGATTTTTTGCTATGTAGTGTATGAAACAGCCCCTGCTTTGTAGCAGGCTCTGCACAACCTTCCCCCTGGATCTCTCGGCTGATCTTCTCTTCCACTGAATCTGAGATTTTTAGATAGTGGTAAAGGATATGTTTTCACATACAGATTTAGTTGCCACAGAATACTGAGTATCTGTTAGTAGGGAGAGGCGGAAAAGAGGGAGGCGGGGATGAAATCAAGGAAGCTATCAGAGATTGTGGCTGGCTTGCCAGAATCTTCACATGAGTCTTTCACACTATGACATTTTGCGGCAAGTCTCACTAGTGCATTCTAAGAACAGGTAACATGTAAAGGAGACAAGAGAAGGAGCTTGATAGAGCAGATGACTGACAGATGATTCAGGAGGCTGTTTCCATACGGACCTGTGGGACCATGCAGACCCCTTGAAATGTATACTTTGTGGGATATTTACTGCAAAACACAGAAAACGGCTCTTTCTTACACTTGCTTGTTGATGTCCTGCAAAAGTATCCCTTCAACATTTCCCCCCTTTACCATCAATTTTCCAGACAAGACAACGGATAGAAATGAATCATTTTATTTCAGCCACTTGGTTCCATGCAGTTGAGTTTTCATCAACCCCACCTACTTGCTTATACAAATTATGTTTCTTGGCTTCCTCAACACTACTGTTAATGTGTTAATGCTCTTGGCAACAAAAAGCTGGATCCAATACAACTGGCTTTTTTTTTTTGCCTGTTCATTAAAAGGGCAGCTCATTAAAAATTACATAATGAACACCAGTCATAAGTTATACACTTGACCTGCAGAAACACTGTGTGCAAATGGTCTGCTGCATTGGCAAATGAGAGCAATTCAAATATCCCAGACAACCCACTGGTGAGAAATCAGTTGGGGGCTTCTGTACTCTTACAAGGCAATCCTGTGCATCTCTACTCAGAAGCAACTCCCAGTGAGTTCAGCGGGATTTACTCCCAGGAAAAACATGCATAGGATAACAGCCTTAATTCTCTCAGTATTGAGTGTTGCCAGATTAAGGCCACACACTCAATCTCTCCTCTTTCTCCAGCAGTACTTCCTTTCACCTACCCTGAACCTACAGGAAATAAACTCCTGCATAGTTATTTGTTTTAAGCATTTCATCCTGTCTTTCCACATATGCACCCAAGGCAGCTTATTAAGTGTAAAACAAATCTATACTATATCTATAGTCTAATTACTATTTTCTTGCTGCATAGAAGCATACTTTATTCCCCATACTGCAGTCAGTAGTGCAGTTGCTAGTTAACTGATGGAATCCACTCCCTGGAGCATTTTATTATACAAGAAGTTCCAGCTGTTTCAGAGGTGGCATTCGATATTTTTTACTTAAATTGGTTTTTATGACATGCTTGTAAGCAGAGGATGTCAAGACCTCCTGAATCTTGAGTAAAAGTCTGCTGGCTGTGAATGTGGTTGGGGGGAGGGGAATCGTCCACCAGAAACTGCACGATGATAAAACTCCCTCAAGTAACGGCTGTTAATGATTAGAGGCTCACTTGGGCATGAAATTAGTCGTTTCTGGCATGTGCGAATAATGGGCAGAAGCCTAAACTGCAATGTTAAGCCTGAAGGCTTCCATTATTTCTAACTGAGTGAGTGTGTGTTTATGCGTGGGAATCTCCAGTGTACGTTCTCTCTGGACTGCTGCAGGGGATGTCTTTGTAGAAAGAAGCACATTTCCTCACTTGCCCAATGCAAAGATAACAGACAGAGAAGCAGCAAAGAAATATGAGACAGCTAGGAGAGAGCTTGTTTATATTTGCATCCATCAGTTCAGATCCAGCTAAAACCTCTCACGTGTGCCAGGACTGGGAAAGACCTTTTCTTCTCCTGAGAGCTTGGAGACAATGTTGGCTAGTTGGACCAACAGAACACCTCAGTATTGGGCAGTTTCTTGTGATCATAAGTGGTGAGTATATAAGGCAGAGGTTCAACTACACAAAGAACAACAACATTGTATCTGGAGCAATGGTCAATATGGTGCCTTCCAAAGATTTGGACCACAACTCCAGCCAGCAGGAGACTGAGGAGCAACCTCCGCCCTCCTTCCACCCCATTTTTCAGAATCCCAGTTCCATTCACATTAATATGCCTGGGTCTTTTTGGTTCCAGTAGTTGTGGGTGGTTTTTTGTTTTCTGTTTAAGGATCAAATATCAAGGTCTTCGCTTCAGACCCTGGAGAGCTATTGCCCTAGATGGATAGAACACCACCGCTGTACACCACCATTATATTTTTTATGAGATTTGGACAGAAGTATTCAATGAAACAAGTCTCATTACAAACTGTAGCGTCCGTGGTTCACCACACTTAGCTTTACTGACTATTTTCCACAGAGAACGAGGTACATTCTGAGGAGCCAGTAATATTTCTACTTGTGACAGCCTGAAAACTGGTGGTGCAAAACTGGAAACAATTCATGAACTTGCAACTTTCCTTGTGGAGACAAAGAGTATGGACAGTAGTGTTAACAGAGAAACTTCCAAAATATGGGAAAGCTCTAAATGGAACTTAAGACTCCAACAATTTTATGGAAATAGGGTATCTTTTTATTATTTTTCCTGTCTAACAGTCCTTCAAATTGGCACCCTCCATAGACAACTGTGGTGCAATGGGTACTTTGTGAAATACAGTCGTAACTTGGTTAATGAACGACTTGCGAGTCAAACGTTTTGGCTCCCAAACACCGCAAACCCAGAAGTGTTCCAGTTTGTGCACAT